TGTTTAATAGAAACAACAATGTAATCAAACTGAGGAGTAAGTGACCTTAGAATCTTTTCTATGATTACCTGTTCAGAAAGTGTTTCTCCACAAGCTTTCATCTTATTAGTGATCAAAATCATTTTGAAGATGTACTCAGAAACTTTCTCACTGTTTTTCATGTTAAGATTCTCATATTGCTTTCGCAGGGACTGAAGCTTTACCTTCTTTACTGACGCGTCACCACCATAATATTTTACCAGTATATCCCATGCCTCCTTCGACGTCGTCGAATCAGCAATCTTCTCAAACATACTTTCATCCACACACTGTTGGATATAGAACAGAACTTTCTGATCCCTCTTCCTCGTAGCTCTTTCTGAAGATTTTTGTTCTTCAGTAGCATCAGCTGCAACTGGAACATAACATTCAGTAACAATATCCAGAACATCCTGAGCACCAAACAGCACACGCATTTGTATCTTCCATCTGTTCCAGCTTTTGCCATCAAAAACTGAAAGTTTAGTGTTCAAACTACTTCCTCTACTCATCTTAAACGTTGCACAAAAACTCAGATCTCAGATTCTCACTCAGTGTTTCCCAAACCCACAGAATCAGTGTGATTCTGTTCAGATTTTTGTTCAAGATTCAACAGAAATCAGGAATCAAAAATCAAACACACAGCTCACTATTACTCGTGTTTCCCATAATTTCAGAATAAACCAAGAGCTCTAGATACCGATTTGTTGGTGCAAGGTGATGAAATTGAGGAAGAAGGGAGAAAAGATAAATGCTATAAAGCTGCTACAAATGATTGAAAGAGAATTGATTGTATTAAATGTAAACCTAGTACACCTATTTATACACAAAAGTAGTAAAGATAAGAATACCACATAGGACCTAAAGAGAATATCCACAAATGGCAAATACTAAACTACTGTCTAAATTACTGTTTCTACAATTTTTGTAATTATGTAAAGAAATCGTTAGAATTACTTTAAAGCAATCAGTGTCGTCCTTCTCCCCTGCATTGGCGGGAGGCACCTTAATCTTATTAGGTCTCAAAACTAGGTGGAATTCAAACAAAATGTAACACCACTATAAATAGTATGAAGACGGTTAACCTTGCCTTCGGGCAAAGGGCCTATGACCGGATTAAGTCGATGCATACTCTAAGCCTCTCGCACGATCCACCTTGTCTCTGGGCAAGAAGGTTTGACCCGACTAAGTCGATGCGTACTCTAAGCCTCTCACACGGTCCACCTTGCCTCCAGGCAAAAAGATTTGACTGAACTAAGTCGATGTGTACTCTAAGCCTCTCGCACGGTCCACCTCGCCTCCGGAAAAGAAGGTTTGACCGGACTAAGTCAATGTGTACTCTAATCCTCTCGCACGGTCCACCTCACCTTCGGGTAAGAATGCTTGACCGAACTAAGTCGATACATACTCTAAACCTCTCGCACGGTCCACCTCGCCTCCGGGCAAGAATGTTTGACCGGACTAAGTCGATGCATACTCTAAGCGTCTCACAGGTCCACCTCGCCTCTGGGAAAGAAGGTTTGGCTGGACTAAATCAATGCGTACTCTAAGTCTCTCGCACGATCCACCTCGCCTCCGAGCAAGAAGGTTTGGCCGGATTAAAGTCGAAGCACACTGAAAGCCTCTTGCACGGCCAATCTCTCCAAGGCTCTGAAACTATTCTCGGTGTATCCTTGCAAGGAGCTCTGAACCCTCAAGTCGGTTAAGTCTTTGGGCCTCTGTCTGCATTCGGTCAACCTGGTCTCTAGCAAAAGAGGCTCAGTCCGACTGCATGCATCAAGATAACCCATCCGCAGTTGCTTGGGGCTTGTTAAGTGACAATTAACTTGATAAGATTTAAACGAACGAATGTCTACTCGGGGCTCTCAGGATAAAAAATGAGACGGACTCCCGGGAACGTTCAATTTAAGACATGCACCTTATAAGGCGTGATCTATAAACTTAAATCTTAATTAAAGATAACAGAAAGGCAAAAGGCCAATAAACGGGTTGGTTAAAAATAAGTCCCAACATTCCGTGATCGAACACTTAAAATCCTACGGCCTTCGTGCCCAAGGGGCTTGGGCATATGTGCAGAATTATTTTCAAAATTGCTATGGTTAAAAGAAAAACAAGAAGATTAATGAAATCAAACAACATCATAAAGCCATAAAAGAGTTGAGTACATTACCAGAATAGAATCAAGGCCTAGCCGACCAGGTTCCCCGGACATAGAAGATGTTTCTTAAAACGATTAAAATGTATCATATAAAAAGAGCTCACAACCTCTGATGTAAATAGTCAGGTTGCACGATATCTCGGCTATATTAAAGATGCATCGAGGTAAATCAAGCTAAATCAGGGACTTTGTTGGTTCCCAGTAAATAATCCTAAAACATACCTTAGTCACGATGTAGGTTCAAACTTATCTTCTCAGCAAAGAGTAAATCCAACCAAACAAATAGAGCCCATCGAGGCCATCCCAAGGATACGAAAAGTTCACTTAGGGCTCATTAGCCCGAAAAATGAACAAGGGAATGATCATCAAACCTAAAAACAGGCTTGGGGCTCTTATAAGAGACACCATGGCTGATTTCATAAAAATAGTTGAAGGTGATATAAATCCAGGTACATTGATCCAAGATGTTTACCTTTGAAAACCTCGTATCCGAAAAACCTCTCACTTCTGACACAACCCGAACTAAAAAATACGCTTTAGCAGTCTCTGTATCCGAGAAGTCTTTCACATATCAAAGATAAACTTAAATCGACAACCCGCATGGGGTTATAAAGTATTCATAAAAATATCGAACAAACATATAAAAATCCTGACAGGCTCACTTGGGGCTCGTTAGCCCAGAGCTATGGATAAAAGGGCAAACACCCGACCTCCAACAGGTTTGAGGCTCTTGATCCAAGACAATAGCTACTGCTGATTTTCTTAACTCGGCCAAAGATAACATAAGGACGGGTCTCGTGCATAGGGCTTCATAGGACTAGCGGAGAAATAAAAGATGAACAAAAAGAACTGATTACTCGCTCTACACATATACTTGGGGCTCAGAGTATACCAAATTCTCGGTTACGCCACAACCCAGACAAAATATTTCACATCAGTGAATTTTGTACCTGGAAAACTTTGCATATATCCCGATATAGACACATAATGATAAAGGTAAATTTATTAGCCGCCTGAGGCTTTACATAGCTAAAGGTAATACATGATATTGACTCTACCATAACTTCCATAAGAAAAGAGAATATAATGTCCATAATCGTGAAGAGATTTTTGTAGGATCTGGTTGAGTATGAGTGCACAGAATTATGGGGCTCTTCATGATCAAACACTTCATCCCAGCAGAAGAACTCGTGCTCGGGGGGCTTGTTCTACATCCCATAATTCTCCGAGTCGAGTATTGTAGCCAGATATGTCGATCAATGCTAAGATAATAAAGATCGACTAATTATGGCCTAGTTGTGTCTGGTCGGGTTGTGCCTTGTCGGGTTGTGCTTGGCCGGGTTGTGTCTGACCTAACTGTGTCTGACTGGATTGTGCCTGGTCGAGTTAGTGTTACGAAATTCAATAGATAACGGTTACGAACGTTACAAGCAATTATAAGCGGTTACGAATGTTATAGTACTTATGGACTGTTACAGACGTTATAAGCGCATTAATGACCATTAGACCAAAGACTTGCCTATAAAAAGAGTCCTTGAAGAATGAAAAAAGATATTGGTTCTTACACTTAAGACAAATACATATAGGGACTTCCAATAGAGAGGTAAGCAAGACACTTATTCTTGAGACAATATAAGTTATAATCGTAACTCTCAAATCTTCAATTATATCTATAGTAATCTATTTTTGATGCTCTTCTATCTCTATAGAAAAACTATTCATTTAGTGTTCTTATCCAAGAACACATACTATAAAAATCATTAAAAAAAACATAAACAAACAGCCATAAAAGACAAGAATAATTCATGTAAGTTTGAAAATGACATGTATATATTGAAAACATAGGAGTAATATTTCTACGTAAAGATAAAGTATTAATTAAGAATTGATTGAATTAGTTGAGCACTGTTGTTGACTAAGAAAATGATTTCGCAATATTTGTATGACTAATCTTCAAATTCAAACCAGTCATAAATATTGCTGCTTATTTATGAAGTCAAAACTTAGAAGCCACCACTAAATTCCCCACTGAATGCAACACCTAACAAACTCACTTACGAAGGAGTGGCCAAATTTATTTTAGAGGTGTACGTACACCTTGCAGTTCTATTATTTATTGTTTAAGAAGTGGGTGTGTAGTTTAGTTTGAGTTTTGAGGGTGTGTTCTCTTTAAAGATGTCTTAATCTTATTGTGTTCTCTTTAAAGATGTCTTAATCTTATTGTGTTCTCTTTAAAGATGTCTTAATCATATTTATGAGAAAAAGATATACAAAATCTTAGAGTATTTATATTTTAAATTATTTTATATCTTCTTGAAAAATATTTATTCTCTTTGTTTCAAAATAAATGTTATATTTATAAAAATATTTATTTTAAAATAAATATTAGTTTCAGTTTTTAATATAATTTTAGTTTTTATTTTTAATTGAATAATCTAATTAACACTCTTAATTTATTATATCTCACACACTGATAATTAAAACACATAAATAGTCAATTAAGATAATTTGGTAAAATAATTAATATAGTATCTTACAAATTGTTAGTTAATCTAGTAGTAATTGATGCTGAACTTATAAGAGAGAATCACAATTTGATTTCCCGCAATTGCGATTGGAAGATGGTTTCATAATTTCCAATATCAATAAAACTTTGTGTGTCTTTTGTTCTTCAACTGTCAAAATATTGGACCATCTTCTGCTTGCCTGTCCCGATTCGAAGGTTGTTTGCGATAAGGTATTGACATGGCTTGGTTCATCATATGGTTATGATGAAACAATATAGGAACACTTTCTTTGGTTTAAGGATTCTTTCAAGAGCAAAATGCATTCCAACAAGATCATGGTGGTTTGGTTCGCAATAGTATGGGCTTTGTGGAAGTCGAGGAATGACATCATCTTCAACAACAATGTTTTCAATGTTGGAGATGTAGTGGAAAATGTGAAAATTCTCTTAGTTTTGGTATGTTATTGGTTTAAAATCAAATGGTGGTAAGGACTATTAATATATTCTATTGAAGTAATTTTGTATCATGGGTGAGTACCCCTTGTGGTATGATATTAATATATTCTATTGTTTATCGGAAGAAAAAAAATCACTTGATACCATAACTGATCTTTGAACTAGATTAATCAATCTAGTGGGTCGGATATTGGTGGTGAAAAAAAGTAATATCTTTCTCTCTTTCATTTTTTGTTTTATCATGTCCCAAAGTGTGAAGTATGCACTTATTTTGTGACAGAACACTACAACATTTGTTGTCTCTGGCAACACTTTTTTAGGTAACATGTAGAAATTGTTGCCTTAAATTCATATAGGCAACGATTTACGATTGTTGTCAAAAATATGTTTGCAACCCTTGATAATCGTTGCCTAAAATACTTTTGGGGACGTTTATGGAGCGATACTCTTTTATTTTTTTGCCAACGGTTGTTAATTGTGCCCTTAACTGCTTTTGGGGACGATTTTAGAGCGTTAAAATATTATTTCTTTAGCAATGTTTGACAATTGTCCCCTAAAATATTTTTGGGGACATTTTTAGATTGTTACATTAGTTCTAATAAAAGGCTACATTTCCGAAATGTTGTATAAATTTTTTTAGAATTATCAAATTTTTGGTGGCAATCTTCCCTCCAAAACTTATACACTAAAAAACAAATATTTTTCTCTAAACATTATTAATATATATAAATTTTTTTTTCTAACACAGGAATTTAAAAATAAAAAATTTCAATTAAACAGAAAATAAAAAAATTATATATATATATATATATATATATATATTAAAAAAATAGAAATCTAAAAATGTAAAAAAGGGCATGGTGCAGCGGCGGAGGCGGAAGAGGAAACGGTTCATCCTCTACATTCTGCAGCTGGCATGGTGTCACTTGCGGCGGAGGCGGAAGAGGAAACGGAAGAGTGGTTTCACTTAATGTGACCGGTCTACGCGGCGGTGAACTGGCGTCTTCCATCGGAGAGTTATCCGAGCTTCGAGTTTTGTCGATTCCTGAAAACATCTTCTTTGGCGAAATTCCGGTGAGTTTGATGAATCTCCGGGGACTTGAGGTTCTTGAGCTTCAAGGTAACAACTTTTCAGGAAATGTGTCTTTACAGATGAGTTATTTTGAATCTCTTAAACTTGTTAATCTATCTGGTAATGCTTTTTCTGGTAGTATTCCGGATGGGTTTATTTTTTCTAAGAATATGAAAATTGTTGATTTGTCTGATAATCAATTTTCTGGTTCGATTCCTGTGAATGATTCTGTTGGTTGTGATTCTTTGAGGCATTTGAAACTGTCTCATAATTTTTTGACTGGTGAGATTCCTCCTCAATTTGGGAATAGCTGGATTTACACTTGGTCTTGTGCTTCTGCTTATAGGTTTTGTTATACCCCCAAGCGACGGTATTGGTGTTGTTGTTGATGCTTCTGTGTTTCACGAGTCATTTCTTGCTGGTGGCATTGGTAAGCTATACCCTTTAGATGTAAATTTAAGCTTGCATTCATTTGTGATTTGATCATAAAAATCATATTTAATCTATATTAGAAAAATTATATTATTCTCCTAAGTGTGGGGTTTGCAAACCAATCTTTTGTTTTGAAGCAAGACAATGTAATGAATTTCACTAGAAATACAATGAACAATACAGTGTGTGGATCGCGATAAAAAGATTCTGGAACTAGTCATGAACGGAGTCACTCTTGCTAGAGAATTAGCAATCTAGTTTGCATGTTTTCTACCAAACCTCACACTGAGGTGTTGAGTAGATAAAAGAAGAGACCTACATTCCGAGATATTGAAAAAATGAAAAACAAAATTTTCTTTTAAAAGATTGGACTGGTTTCTCAAGTCTGTTTATGAAAATGATCCAATCTGTAATTAGATTAAATTCATAAAATTATTGTACTAGTTATAGTTATACTTGATAAGATGTCAATAGTTCTAAAAAAAAAGATATGCCATTAAGAAAATCACTAAAATCAAACAAGAAACTAGGATAATTTGCAATTTAGAAATACTTGTGACACTGTTGATTATCTTTCATTAGTTTGATATTTTAAATTAGCTTCTTTGAAATATCGTTGAATATCCTTACTGCATGATATATCACTAAATATCCTTAGGGTGAGATTAGATTAATTTTCTAGTTCCATTATAATTCAATCTAGGAACATCCTTACTGCATGATATATAACTGAATATTTATATTTGCTGCTTCGTTAATTTAGAAAGGTATTTACTGTTTTAGCAAAACTGCTTCTTGGCAACGTTCTCAAGGAAGGAACTCCAATTTCTGTGAACCCTCTTGTGATTTGGGCTTGGGCAGGACTCCTTATCAATGCCATCAACAGTATTCCTGCTGGAGAGCTTGATGGAGGGAGAATTTCTTTTGCCTTATGGGGAAGAAAGGTATCACAATACATTTTACAAGTTAGCATTATATTAACCGTGTTCTTTATGACAATTTTTGTTTTGTTCTGCCATCTTACAAATTGAAGAGGCAATTGCAATTCAAGGAAATAATTCCTTTGGGATTAGCATTGTACTGTCTTGGTAGAAAATTATGAAGTCAATGAAAACTTGCCCAGGCTTCATAAATTTTCTGGCTCCGCCACTGAATACAGTATTTAGTATACTTTCTTTGATTGGTTTTCCTATTATGAGTTTAAAATCTGGAAGTGTAAATAAATACAACACATGCATGCTTCAATCTTTCCTTCCATCTCCTTCTTTGTTTTGACTTTGATAAATATGTATTTTATATTGTCTCAAGTTAGAATTTGAGTTTGAAACAATAAAAAAGAATAGAAGTTATATCTAGCTATCAATTAATAAATTTTATATTTTCTTTTATTGGAACTCTATTTATGGTCACGGTTTTAGGACCGTACATGTATTAACTTCAATCATTTCCTTCCATACCTGGCTAGCTCCGTTAATTTGAAAAAAAAAACAAATGAGTGTTGCAATCAACACTCATTTTTTTCCATATATGTCTGAAAATTACATTAATGCAATGAAGAAAAACCAACCATAGTGCTTACTGAAATTTTTTTCTTTAAATTTGGTGTATCTTCTTTCAGCTTACTATGCAAGGGAAACAACATATTGAATCTTCTAGCAAAGTAAACAATATCAAGCATCGTGACGAAACACCGCCTGATGTTCGAGTACGGAAACTAAAGGATCAGCTCATCCAAGCTAAAGTTTATCTTTCCCTTCAGGCAGTTAGGAACATTCCCTATCTCACTCGGGAACTTCGGCTACGGGTAAAGGAAGTTTCACGAACAATTGGAGAGGCAAGCAAAGATTCTGACTTGCCAAGGAAGTAAGTGAGTTTTTAAGAATGTATTTTTTGTACTTGTCACCAGGTTTTCCTATTTTTATATAGCTATTACGTTAGTTATTTCATATTTAGCTTTATTGGGAAGTAGCATACAAATATGTTGAATAGTTCAGGTCTTCATGATCTACATTTTATTCAGTTTGAACTTATATTTGTAATTCTACTAATGCAGTGCAAATGAGAGAATGAAGGCAATAGAGCAATCATTGATGAAAGCAAGGCAAATTCAAGATGATTGTGCCACATCCGTGAAGAAGCTTAGGGCTATGCTCTACTCATCAGAGGACCATCTTCGCGTGCACAAGAAACAGACCTTATTCTTAACACAGTTGACAGCTAAAACATTGCCTAAAGGTCTCCATTGTCTTTCGTTGCGCCTTACAACTGAATACTATAACTTGAACTCTTCTCAGCAACAATTCCCCAATCAAGAGAAGTTAGAAGACCCTGGACTATACCATTATGCAATATTCTCAGATAACATATTGGCCACAGCTGTTGTTGTGAATTCTACTGCTGCCCATGCTAAGGTAAGTTATTTTCACGTGGAGATTTCCTGAGTTGTTTTTATTCGCCAGGATTATGAAACTGAGCACCAAATAAAATAATATGTTATAGTATCTCTCTGCAGTTAAATTACTATTCTCTCAATGTTTTAACAAACTAATATGTTTTCATTTTATTTGTGCCTAGAGGTAGTGATGGATAAAAAATGAAAACAAAAACCTTATCTGTTACAATATAATGGTGGTATTTTTCTTTCTGATCAGCATAATAATAATGTAGTTTTAATAAATTTTCAGGATTCCTCCAAACATGTTTTCCACATTGTAACTGATAGGCTCAATTATGCGGCAATGAGGATGTGGCTTTTGGCCAATCCACCTGGAAAGGTGGCAGTTCGAGTTACAGTCCAGTTCTTAAGCAGCTAGATGATGAATTTCAAGAGGAGGATATAGATGGTGAATTTCAAGAGGACGACGTAGATGAAGAATTTATGGAGGATGACATATCTAACGAATTTCAAGAGGACGATCTGGATGCTTTACTCCTAGAAGACAAACTTGAATGAGTTGGATGGTGTCTTTTTTTTTGGCTTGTAGTTGAAAGCATTAAACTTGAAATATGATTTTTGTTCTTTTGCTGAACTATGTTTTTAGTTATTTTACTAGGGTCATACTTCAAAGTATTAAAAGTAATATTGTTACGTTAGGCATTTTTTGTACTCTATATACTCTTGAATTAAAGTTTGAACTCGATTTTATTATATTACAACTTTTATGGATGTATGGTTTAAGTTATATAATCAATATTATTTTTGAAGCCAATTATTATTGACTATATTATTTTGATAATAATTGCAAAATTGTATATTTTATGTGGACACTATAAAACAACAACCTATAAGCTATGGCTACACTTCAAAAACAATCTTCCTGATTCAGGTTTAAGGCAACGATTGTTAATTGTAGCCGATTTGGCAACGCAACGCTTAAAAAACGTTGTCTCAGAGGTCGTAAATAATCGTCCCCTATTTTTTTACTATAGGCGACGTTTTTCAAAAGCGTTCCCAAAAAACATAAAAAAACGTTGCCTCAAACAATAGGCAACGCTCGCACAGGAGACGCCTAGAAAACGTCCCCTATTATTTTAGGCAACGATTTTCAGAGTTCTGACAACGTTTTTCAATTGTTGCTGGAGAGCCTAAATGTTATAGTGGAAGGAGTATTTATTTTAAATAGACTTAAATGTAATTTTGATTCCTATTTTTTTTGAAGTATTGGTCTCCATTTTAAAACTCGATTGTTCAGTATGTCCATTTCATTTTTTAATCCCCTACTAATATGAGACCAAATTTCAATGACATGATAGTCTATATGAAGACATGTCAATGCCGCAGTTGCAATAAATGATTTTAGCTTATTTTTATTAACATTTATACTATGTTATTGATTAAAAATGACATTAATATTAAAAATACAAAATCAAATAAATATTTATGAACCCTAATTCCTAACACATGGATTGTGAATTTATGTGCTTAGAAGTATAATGACTGTAACAATCTATTTGGTTTTAATGATGACAACACTCTAAAGTGAAGTCTTCATCAAAAGCGTTGATCAAGACTAACTAGTTTTGATGATGAATACCTCATCTAATGTGATGATTAAGTTGTGGTGCTTGAAGATCAAGTTGTTAAGTTCCATCTCTAGAGGACAACATCTATTGTCAAACGACATTCGGTAAAGTCGGTAAAGATATTAGATCAAGCAATCACTCTGATGATGGTGGCTATTAGGAAGGGTTATTCAGCACCAACAGACAGAATAAGTCAAGTCACAGATGAAATGTTAAATAAATGTTGAATCAAGAAAGGGATCCTGAATCTTTAGAATTGTGAAAGAGAGAAAGTGTGAAAGTTCATCGTGTTCATGTCAAGTGATTTGTTTCTATAAAGGTATAAGATTAGTTCTTGAAATTATTAAGGTGAATCAGACACACACTTTCAAATGATCGGAAAGCCTCTCTAATTTTATTAAAACAATGGAAAATGTTTGTGTGCCTAGCTAATGGATTTGGGACCCATCCTAATCAATTAAAGGGTTTTTACATGGCATAATCGATTTGCCCATGTTAGTCGATTATCACTTTTGTAACCATAATAATCAGTTATCAGGTCTTATAATCAATTAGAGATTGAGCTATTTAAAAATATTCGATATTTGAATTGCATAATTGATTAAGTGATATGCATAATTGATTATATGCATTTAAAAACCTATGGATTATTTCCATTTTTTAGCCACATTTGTCCTATAAATAAAGTGTTTCCCCCCTCATTTCATTTTACATCAGAAAACATGTTTTTAATACCTTTCTCCCACTCTTCTCTCCTTCTCCCTTTATTTCTTCACTTTTGTCATAGTGCTTTTGAGAGTGACTATTTTATATTTGAGGTGTTTGGTTCTAGTATGGGGGCATTACTGTAATATTTCTATTGTTAGAATTTTTTTAGTTCTGAGCTAAACCAATTGAAAAGCTCTTGTTTGGTTGTTAAGGTGAACCCGTTAAAACCCATGTTTCATTTCCGAGATTATTGTGGTGGTAAAGTCTCGTGTTTCGTTGGGAGGTCTTTGTAATTAAGACTCATGTTTGGTGTGTGAGCTTTGCCTATTGAGAAATGTACTCGTTTGGTTTGGTGTTATCATGGTGGTAAAATATGTGTTGGTTGGGAGGTCTCTGTAGTTAAAACTTATGTTTAATTTGAGAGATTAGACTATTAAAATGTCCATGTATCTTGAAAGGAGGTTCATGAGAAAACTTGTAAAAGCTCACATCATAGTGAAAATAATATAGTATACTCTCTATTTAACTCAGGGGGAGTTTCACTATATATATATATATATATATATATATATATATATATATATATATATATATGTGTGTGTGTGTGTGTGTGTGTGTGTGTGTGTGTGTGTGTGTGTGTGTGTGTGTGTGTGTGTGTGTGTGTGTGTGTGTGTGTGTGTGTGTGTGTGTGTGTGTGTGTGTGTGTGTGTGTGTGTGTGTGTGTGTGTGTGTGTGTGTGTGTGTGTGTGTGTGTGTGTGTGTGTGTGTGTGTGTGTGTGTGTGTGTGTGTGTGTGTGTGTGTGTGTGTGTGTGTGTGTGTGTGTGTGTGTGTGTGTTCTTTTACCACTTTACATGAGAGATGTGTTGTTATTTTTGAAAAGGGAGAGAATTGTAGAACCTTGTTTTCAGGTGATATGCTTTTAACAAGAATATCAAATTTTGATTATGACAATTAATGCATATTGATAAGTCAAGTACAAGCAGTTAAATGAATAAAGATGTAAACCTAAGTATTATGGTTTGATAGACTTGACTATCTGATGATGACAATCAAGTGGAATATAAATCAAGCCTCATCTCAAATAAACTCAAGCAAGTGTCTATAAAGAAGTATCTGATAAAGTCTTGAAGCGTAAGAAAGTTCTACCTAAATTACTATGAGTCAATACTATGTAAAATAGCTATATAAAGCTTGGATAAGGTTCGAGATTAGCCCAGTATTAAAATCTCACAGATTATTGGTCAGCATGGTATAAAACTAAGGCTTAAAGGTTCGTTAGCTCAGCCTGTGTAAATTCTTGCAAAATTTATGGAGAGAAGACTACCCAATTCAATCTACCATTTGTGAAGAGAGGACTAACCGCTTTGATCCATTGTTTATGAAGAGAGGACTAACCACTTCGATTCACCAAGAGAGACACATAAGCCAAACTTATAGTCTTGTATTGTCTGGTTGGAGGCCAAGCATTTTTACTTCTATAAGGGGATTTGTGAGTACATCCTATTAAAAACTCTCAAGTTTATTAGAACCTCTCAAGATGATTTCTTAAGGAGATGAGTATGTCCTTTTTGTTTTGACTGAACCCTTATAACTCTCAGTGTCCTTCTTTTCTCTAAATCACCTTTTTCTCAACCACACATGTAACACCCTGATCTTTATTGAATTAATTTTTTTATAAATTAATTATGTGATATTATGCATTAACATGCGTTGACGAGTCTTTTTATATTGTGTGATGTCTTGTTGAAGGGTAGTTACCTTAAAAATTATAGAAAATAAGGTATTGGGGGTGTATGACCAAAAGTGTAGAGATACAGGGGTGAAGGAAGAATGTTATTGAAATATTATTATTAGAATATTAGAATAATAATTATATTGTTAATAATTAAATAATTGTTTTTATTAATTATTATTATTATGAGGAAGGGCATAAGTGAAATAAGATAATAGGGGTCTATGGGTTAAATTAGTAAGAACACTGAAGGGACTATCACTTTAGTTTTGAATGATCATAGAAACTGAGAAGAGAATAAAAAGATCGTATTTTAGGATAAGAGATAGCATGAAAGAGAGGAAGAGTTAGGGCAAAGATAACCACCGCTAGAGCACCTTTGAAGAATGTTGATTAAGGTAAGGGTGAAGTTTTCTATTGCTTAGGAATTGCATGATATATATGGGTGGGTAGTTATTAAACTCTATGATTATCATCTCTCTTGTTTGTCTTTGATGTAATGGATGTGTCGGTGTTTGCCCTGTGTATGAAATTGTGTGAATTCATGTGTATGATTGTTATTTTTACTGAATTAGAATGTTGATAATGGTGTATATAATTAGGAATTAGAAATTGAAATTTGGAATGTGCATTGTGTGGTATTTAGGACTGTTTGGGTGTAGGAATAAGTGATTTTTCTAACAGGAAAATAGAAAAAGAGTTCTTCTGCACCAGTATTGAGGGTACTCGGTTACCAAACACAAAACAGAGGAATGCATTTTTGGTTACAGGAGGTGTAACCGGTTACCAGGTTTTGGGTAACCGGTTACCAGAACAAGACATTAGAGGGGCAAGACTGATTACAGGGGATGTAACTGGTTACGGGTATGAGGGTAACTGGTTACCACTGAGTCTGACAGAATTATTTTAAAACTTCGAAAATTCGTAACTTTCATTTCCGGTGTATGATTGAAGCATGCTTCATATTGTTGGAAATCTGGTTTAACGTACTTTTTAGTAAAATTATTTTCAGTACCAGAATTCCAACTAATTGATGTGTAGACACGTGTTTTGTATGTGTTGAGTTGTGTTGTTTTGTGGAATGTTGTAAATGCAGTGTGAATGTTTGATATATATGCAGACTGATATGTTGCATGTTTTACAAGTGGATGATTTGTATTGGCCCGTGTAATACGGTGGAAGAACCGACTGTTATACTGGTTTGTGTTTTTTGTTTTCAAATGTACAGCAAGAGTCGCCACCGACTTTTATTTTATCCAATAAAGGAAAAGGGAAAAAGAACAGAAAAAACCTTTTTCGAGATGTTTCTGAGTACGGGGGGGTAGATTATAGAAAGGGAAAGTGTTAGC